CGACAAATTATTTAGTGCCTAACCGGGAGTTTATAATAAAAGCGAAACAAAATTTTATTTAAAGAAAGATGCACGACCGATTGCATTAAAGTGTAAGAATGTAGCGCATGCATTAAGACCATTAATAGAAAAAGAGATAGATAGATTACTTAAATTGGGGCATTTAAAGCCAGTCGACGTGAGCGAATGGGCCACGCCGATAGTACCGGTATTCAAAAGTAATGGTAATATTCGAATTTGTGGAGATTTTAAAATGACGTTAAATCCGCATATTATTATGGATAAATATCCCTCGCACACAATCGATGATATTTTTGCTAAGCTTCAAGGCGGAGATACTTTTACTGAATTGGACTTAACGCATGCCTACATGCAATTTTCCGTAGAGGAAGAATGCTCGAAATTGTTAACAATTGTAACTCATGGCATTTTAGGTACACAAAGGTACCAGAGAGTGTTTCGCCTGCACCTGCGGATGTTCAAAAGAAAATGGATGAGTGTTTGAGAGGATTACAAGGCACGATAGCGTATATTGATAATATTTACGTAACAGGTAAAACCACGGAAGAGCATTTAAAAAATTTAGAGAACGTCTGTAATAGATTACAAGAATGCGGATTACGACTAAATAGAGAAAAATGTAAGTTTATGCAAGAAAAATTAGAAGTGTTAGGATTTGTAATAAATAAAGAGGGGCTGCATAAAGCAAAATCGAAGGTAAAAGCCATGATAGAAGCGCCTCAACCGAAAAATGTAAAAGAATTAGAATTTCTTGGGTTAATAAATTTTTACGCGAGATTTTTAGAAAATAGATCAGTAAACTTAAAGCCGTTATACGATCTTCTAAAAAAAGAGAAATTTGAATGGGACGAAAATTGTTCAAAAGCTTTTAGTTAGGTAAAAAATGAATTAATTTCACCAAAAGTGTTAGTAAATTTTGATCCAAAAGAGAAAATAGTTTTGGCATGCGACGCTTCAGATTACGGTCTGTCAGCAATTATATCACATAAATGTAAAGACGGCACTGAAAAGCCAATCGCGTTCGCGTCTCAAAAAATTCCAAAAAATGAATTAAATCGGAAAATACTAGATAAAGAAGCAATGGCTATAATGTTTGAGGTAAAACGGTTTTATCAGTTTCTTTTTGGGAAACAATTTATTTTAAGAACGAATAATAAAGCATTAGAATTAATACTAGGTCCAAGAAAAGGGATTCCATTAACCGCGGATAATCGGTTTCAAAGATGGGCTTACTATTTATCCGGGTTTAGATATCAAATAGAACATGTAAAATCAGAAGCTAATGCAAACTGCGATGCATTATCAAGACTTCCGATAGATGACGATACTGAGATGATAGGGTCAGATTTTTCGCATGTGAATTTTTTCGAAGAGGGAGTGGCCGCGATTCGATTATAAAATATTATCGGAAGAAAGTAAAAAAGATGAATTGATTGCTACTTCAATCAAGCGAGTTTTAGGAAATTGGCCTATGAATTCAAAAGAAATGTCGAACGATGAAAAAAGTATTTATAACAAAAGATTAGAATTAACAACGGAAAAGGGTTGTTTATTTTGGGGATTAAGAGCAGTAATTCCAGAAAAATTAAGAGGTATTATATTAAAAGAACTACATGCTACACATTTAGGCATTGTAAAAATCAAAATGTTTGCACGCTCATATGTATGGTGGCCTAATATTGATCGTGATATAGAAAAGTTAGTAAAAGATTGTAAAATTTGTTTAACAGAATTAAAGAAACCACCATTTACGCCTTTAACTACATGGCCTTGGCCAGATAAAGCATGGAGCCGCATTCATTGTGATTTCGCAGGTCCATTTTATGGAAATATGTATTTGATTATAATAGACGCTCATAGCAAATGGCCAGAAATTATAAATTTTAAAAGTAATACAAAAGCATACAGACTGTGCGAAGAGTTTAGAGTATTATTTTCACGACACGGACTTCCTCTGCGTTGTGTAACAGACGGAGGCCCACAATTTAGAAGCGCTGAATTTCAAAATTTTTTGTTAAATAATGGGGTAAAGCACAGCTTCTCACCGCCGTATCATCCTGCTACGAACGGTGCAGCAGAAAATTTTGTACAAACTTTTAAAGATAAAGTTTCTAAAATTGTTAAAGCGGGAAAAACGCTGGAAACAGCTATAAACATGTTCTTATTTGACTATCGTAGCATCGAACATTGTACGACCAAAAGAACTCCGGCGTATTTAATGTATAAAAGGGAGATTAGAACTAGGTTCGACTTGCTCAAACCAAGCGTTACAGAAACAGTCGCGCAAAAACAGCGTGATTAAATAATAGCAAGACCGGGAAAGCGCAAGGTAGACTTCTCATCGGGAGAACAAATTATGGTAGACGATTTCGGTGTAAGATCGGAAAAAAGAATGAGTAGGACTATTGCAAAACAAGTCTCACCATCGACTTACGTTGTATCTAATGATAAAGGTAACCTAGTTAAACGCCACGTAGATCAAATGATAAAATGTAATAATCCTGATGTAAAATTGCGACGCTCTCCACGTTTTCAGGGAGAGTCAAGTTTAAAAAGAACGGAGAGTTGTAATGTATGAAGAAACGCCTGCGTCAGCGTTTATGCGAAGCGAGCCTCAGCGCACTCGCCAACACTGTACATGCGGCAGTTGCTATATAGACGCGCACGAATATGTATCATAAGTAACACCAATTATTAACATCAAATATATATGTATAAATAAATAAGTGTATATTAATGTATTAACCACCCGATATATTATACTGTAGATACTCGCCGCCCTCACGTTCCCCTCTACTATGTCGGATTAGGAGCTAGCGGGAAGATCCAGTCGAGAAGACTCCCAGAGTTGATGTGTCGCGGATTAGAAATTAAAGGCCCGACGAGTCGGGCTGGTGCAAGGATGCACCTGGTGCCCAAGGGATCCGCGGAATGCCACGTTGGGGTTGTAGATAAAACGTAGGCCAGGAAATGCGTTACAGTACATATAAATCCTATCTAGACTCCATGATATAAATATAGAGCCTTATAAAAACGACAAAAAATATTTAGCAGTCTTCGAAATAAAATATGTGCCACTATTTCAGGTTATGTTATGTTGGCTCAGTCCTCCCCGTGCACACTGCTTTGTCGCAGCTTAAACATTTTCAGAGACTGTACAGTGTATGATAGAGACAGACTGCTACATTTATCTGTGTCCTTGCTATCTCTCTCTGCGCGGCCCCCACCACTGCTGTTCGGATTCCAGTATGGTTAGAGTTCAGTGGTAAAAACTCTCTATGAAATGCGATTGGAAATAAGGGTTCCTCAAAAATTGAAGGCCCTTCATGGAGAGAAACCTCAACCTCAATTGAGGGACGATTATGAATACGGGCATTAAGCTGCCGACTACTTCCGGCTAATTCATCGAAAATTTTGATGCTCATTCGGAAATAGTTAACGAACTTGCCCTCTTCTTCCCTTAAATTTATGAACATCGTGCTCAATGCACCTTTCAAAAGCCTCTGACTATTAAAAGAGTGAACCCAATATTTTCTTTTCTTACTTTCCTCTTTTCTAACAATATTGTCATACACTAGGTACAACTAGGTACGAGAATATAATATTCTTTTTAATTTTTTGAGCGACGAAATCCATGCTGATTGCACTCATGGTTGCACCTCACTTTAAATTGAATTGCGATATCACAGTAAGGGCATATTCCGTAATTGAACTACAGTTATGGTTATTACATTTCAGCCAATAACATCTATTGATTTTCGTCAGCAGTCGAATTCAATCGATAAAATTGGCTGAAATTTAATAACCGCAACCGTGGTTCAATTACGGAATATACGTTGTAACGTGGCATCATGCGCCTAGCTTGGGCGAAACACGTTACATTAAGGGATAAAACTCGCGCGTCCGCGTCGAAGGGTCGAGCGATCGGGATGGGTGGGGGTTCAGCTGCGGTGGCGGCGGGGCGGATCGGACGGCGAGGCACGAGGGCTAATACCCTACTCCGATGAGGCCGCCGACCGCCCGCTTCCCGCTAATCGCCCACTGGACACCTGATCGTCCCGACGTGCGACCTGGATGGCAAGGTACTGCGGGAGGGGGGGGGTATTTCTGTTTCGGTCCACCCGCTAGACGAGGGAGGATGAGGGGGCCAGGAATTCCCGTGAGGCGTGAATTCCTTCGGCTAAATTCGGCAAACCGGCAACAATAGGACTCGGCAATCTTCGGATTTTCCGAATTTAATCTCTTTCCGGTAATCGACCGAGTCACACGTGGCGGATAAGTACGGACGATTACGGGCAGTGGACGGTGGATTGTGGATTTTCTTTTTGTGAGGACGACTCTGCTTACTTTTGTGGATCTCTGGTGGACGACGCGGCTTGGTTTGTGGGACTTGATTTGGTTTTCTAAGTGAAATTAAGGGAAAGGTGACTGTGTGTGGAGTGAGGAGGTGCAGGACGAGCGGAAGTGCGCAAGGGATCGCCAGCCGGAGCCGAGGACCTCCCGCCCCGAAGCGGCCTATTTGATTTTTTTTCTCCTCTTTGGATTTTTGGATTAAGCCGCTACACCGGTAAGTACCGCGGAGGGCGGCCCTTCTTATTACACGGATTCCCCTCGAAGAAGGGCCGGGATAGCCGCCTTCACGTAGCCCGGGCGGAGATCGGTGGTCCAGGCGTTCGGGGCGCTGGCCAGAGAAGACCTCCGCTAGGAAAGAGGTTCGCCCACCGAGATTTGTAGGATCGCGAACCGCGTGGTGGCAATTTGCGCCTCGTGGTCAGGCAAGCTAGGGACGGTGGGGAACGGTTAACCCTGCGGCCCTTACGGAGGGCCGCGCTCGCCGTTAAAAGTTATTGTACGCGTCGATCTGTGCTGGCTCCGTTTTCCTTTCTAATTGAATAAACGGATGTTAAAACTTCGACCGGCGTTTTCATTGGCGTACCCCGAACTGTTCAAATCTCGTCGCCCTTACGTTCCCCTCTATCATTTCAGCTAGCTGAGGCTAAGCAGCCGGGAGATCGCGTGTAAGCGGCCATAGGAGGAACGTCGGTGCGGAGAGTCCGCACCTGGCGCCCAACAATCCGATCTACTTCGGATCTCGAATCGTTTTTCGGATATCAGCACGTTGGGAGCGGCCGTGAATTATTTGTCGGCTACGCCGGTATCGCTGCATATCAGTTCCAGTTACGCCAGCACTGAAATACAAATACATATAAGTATAGTGTGCCAGCTAAATATTTGGTAATAGTTTGCACTAGTAATTATTTATGATAATTAAATTGTATTTTAATACAATTATATTACATACCAGTATAACATTTTTACTATCGAACTAAGTGATAAAACACAAATATATTTAAAAAAGTTAGCATGTTAAACTATATCTTTGTATTTTGTACATATTGAAATTAACCTAAAAGCAAAACTGTTTCTTTCATGGTTTCGCTATCCTTTTATCGCACAAAAGTAGGATTAGCTACGTCTATTAATTACATAATAGGCTGGATTTCTAAATTCATCATTTAAGGAGTCTAGGTCAATTCACAATAGTTAAATCCGTATGATCTGTACTAACTTTTTCCAATCGTTTCTAGGTTTCTGTAAAGTTTTATGCATTAAATAAAAATTGGGATGAGTGATTTAAAATTACTTTTCAGTACGGTCAAGTCCACGAATTCCAAATTCGTAAAACTTTGTAAAACCGATAACAAAATATTTAGCAGTCGTCGAAATAAAATAGGTATATCAGTATTTCAGCTTATGTAGATTTACGGCCGTTTTCTTTGACGCGGTTCAATGCATGAACTCCATTTATCTTCAAAATACAAGTGTCTGATTGGCTAATAGCACAGTTAAACCGAGTTTATGCATTGAACCGCGTCGACGAAAAGGGGTGTTAGTCCTCCCCGTGCGCACTGTTTTATATCAGCCTTAACTTTTTGGGAGACTGTACAGTGTGTGATAGAGGCAGCCTACTGCATTGGCCTGTTTCCTGACTATCTCTTTCTATGCGGGATCCACCAATGCCGTACACAGTCCAGTATACTTGTAGTTCAGTGAGCTGTACATACACATAAAATAATATTACAAATATTGTAAAATATTTATTTTTTTGTTTATTAAAATATTTATTATTATAAAAATAAAAGTATGTAAAATATAGAAATTGAAGATAAAAAAATCCTTACCACATCTGCTCATCAGTTACAGGATTTGCAGTCAGTGTCAATAAAAAAGGTAGACACGGATATCCAGCATCACCTACCTATAAACCATTGAGCTCAGCATTAGCATATTTCATTTAGATTCTTGAATTTTCGAAGATTCTACCATCATGCTCATTACCGGGCCACTCTAGTATCAGAGATGAGTAGAGAGATTGCCAATGGGCCTGTTTTTGGTGGTCTCAATCACGGCCTTACATACAGGTCTTGCAACGAGACCAACTTTTAGTGGTGGGGGTAGTCCTTCTTACTGTCCAAATTTTTTAGTTCTTCGGCGGGTCGCCACTAGTACAGGGGTGCCCTCCCCCTTTGCCCCTCACGTAACACAAGCTATGACGCGCAAGCTATCGTCCATCTCAGTTGCATACTCCTGTACTGGTAGCCGACCTTGTGTCGTAAATTGGAGTTAGTGAATTTGGACACTAAGCGGGATTACCCCCACCACGTTCGTTGCAAGACCTGTATGGGGTAAACTGCAGTATACGACTCCGAATTGAAGTTGGCTGCTAGTGACTTAGATATTTAACGTAGCGCCATCTATCCAATGTAATGCGAATCACATAGAATAGTGGCGCCTCCTGATCGGAAAAAAGGCAACTATCTTTAAAAATTTGAAATGAGTATATTTTTACTGTTATCATATACATATATTATCTTGTTGTAAAAATATATTTTCACAAAATATGATCTAGTAATCGCAATATTCCATGTTTGGAGATTTTTTTCGTTTAATTTTCGTGCTACGCCACACAGGTTTGCACCTATTATGTATACATATATTTTGATATGAAGATATTACTACATATATTTATATTAAATATGTGTATGTTTAATTTATAAATAATATTATTTAAAAATATAAGTATGTATAAGTGCAAGCTCGTGATTGTACATTGAGCATTAAATTTGATCTACTGCTTCGAGATTTTTTTGCTATAATGTATCGTCTGTTTTCGTAAAACATGTATAAGCATGATTTTCGTTAGTAGCTCGAAAAGCGTGTAACACAAGTGTGCTATTATTTCTTTTGCTTAAATTGGATTGTGTGTGATCGATTGCAGTGGTGATACGGTTCGTAGATTTGTTCACACTAGTTGAGAAACCTTCTATCGAGGTAATCACCTTCACTCAAAGATACGGACTCATAGCTCGGACTTTCAAGTGTCCAGTGTGCGATAAGGACATGATTCTATGCACTGCTGAATTACTTTCGGACAAATATCGTTGGCAATGTCGTAGTTGCAAAACAACGAGATCAGTGAGAACTGGTTCGTTTTTTAGCAGATCGAAGTTATCAATCATCGAAATTTTACAATTGGCATATTTTTGGATTCATAAGTACACCCAGATTCAGGCTCAGTGGGAATTTCAATGTTCCCCGCACACGACGGTCGACTGGTACTATTTCTGTCGGTTATGGTTAACTTTTTTTCTAATAGGCAGCGTGACTATTCCATGCGATTCACATTATATCCGGC